GAAGATATAGTGATTAATAATCTAACAACCTACCGTTATGTGGAAGTGGAGGCGAGGTGCATGAGTTTCTCTTTCAAGCTCTGGAGATTATTTCTGTTGACAGGTTTCCCATCATGGAAGGTAAGAAGTCTGAAGCACCCATGGCATCTTTTAATGATGCTAAAGCCATCATGGAAGCTATATCTCCCCGTGATGTTTGGGGAAAAGTGATTGAGGTATCTGAGAAGATAGATCGTTGTGGTCTTGGATATCATCCACCCTCCTCGGTGAAATCTACTTTGGTTCCTTTCAAAGGAAAGCAGGTTATCCCAATTTCCGAAGTGTTCATTAGTGCTTGTACAAGCAAAGAAGGACAAGTTCTTGCAGTGGATGATGAAGGTGACAATGAAGATGTTTCCAGATTTATCTATCAGATTGCGTCAGACCAGGAGCTCAGCAAATGGACTGTCATAGACATCCCTAAAGTTGTTTTCCTTGATGTGTAATTTTCTGTTTCCATTAAGTCATATGCCATGCCCAAGGAATAAGGACAACTTGTAGAAGGGTCCCCTTATGTTTCAATCTCTTTTTAAAATTAAATAAAAGTCGCACTTTCACATACAATTTTTGTTCCCTGTCTTTTTTTTTTACTTTTTACTTTTTAAAATAAAATGGGAATTCTTTTCATTTCATATTCTAAATTTTTTCTTGCACTTTCTAAAATAAAACATAAAATCATCATTCATGCAGATCCGGCTCGGATTCCATAAAAAAAGATAGTGTTATGGTTCCTAATATCCTTAAGAATTCAGTTGACCATGCTAACAAGGTTAGTGGGGAAGATTGTGAAGTCCCTGAAGAATGGGTGAGACTCTTGAGACTAGAAAAGAAGATCATCCAGCCATATCAAGAATATATAGAAGTTATCAATCTTGGTATTGAATAGGTAAAGAGAGAAGTCAAGATAGATTACGCCTTGCAAAGTGAAGAAAAGAAGGGGTTAATTGAGTTGCTTCAAGAGTATTCTGACATCTTCTCCTGGTCGTATGAAGACATGCACAGTTTAGACACTGATATAGTGGTGCACAGATTGACACTCAAGCCATAATTTCCTCTTGTAAAGAAGAAGCCGCTAAGAACTAGACTTGACATGGCTTTGAATATTAAAGAAAAAGTTCAAAAGCAGCTTGATGTAGGCTACTTATTTGTGATAAATTATCCACCATGGATTGCTAACATTGTGCCTATACCTAAGAAGGATGGTAAGGTACGTATGTATGTTGACTACCGATATTTGTTAACAAAATTTCCTTTTCACCAACAAAGTTACTTTTTTATGTCTTTTTACTTTATTTTTCGAATGTGAATTGTGATTTAAATTCTTTATTAAACATTGCATTGAAAACAATAAGGTAATAATAATCACAAGCTAAGACGTGAAACACAATGTTACATTGACATGAAGACATCCTAAAGGAATGCAATGACATCCAAATGTTGTTTTTCTATGCAGGTAGCAAATCGTAACGGTCACCTTGACATAGCTTATGTCATCGTCACCCCCTGCAGACGGTTGAGCACACGAAAGTCCAACATGGGACAACTTGGGGCATCCTAGGAGATCTATGTCTCTACCCAGCCATCCACAGGCCCTCTAGGATGTAAGGAAATTAATATCAAGAAACTTCTCCCCAGCAAGACTATAATTCAATCCTCAACAAGGCTATAACTCAATTCTCAGGTTTTCAAGCACCAATCCATAATTGTATCTCAAAGACAATGGGCAACGAACCACAATAAGCCTAATATTTGGCACTCTGTATATAGTAATCATCACTTCATATTACATTGCATCCTAAAACGCGTAGCATATCCATTGAAATGGATCATTACGCCATACACTTCAAAATGCACATGAAGCATAAGCAAAATTTGGTACCTTGCACGAAAGCCCAAATTAATCCTTAAAACAGTAATACATCCCCACAGAGAATGCCATCCACATAATTCCCAGTTGAAATCCATCATTTTCTAGCACATTATACTCCCAACTCTCAATACCCTTTGTCAATCTTTTCTTGGGTCGCAGATCGTCCATAGACCTTACCCTCATGTTATCTTTTCTTCGGTCGCAGATCGTCCATAGATCTTACCCTCATGTTATCTTGTCTTGGATCATAGATTATACACCAATATTTACCCTTTGCAAATACTTTGGTTCGCAAATCCCACACGACATATTCTCCACTGTCGTCGATTTTACCCATTATCTCTATCTTTCTTTTTGGGTCGCAAATCCTACACGATAGATTCTCCACTGTCGCCGATTTTTTACCCGTTGTCTTTTCCAATATTTTTGGGTCACGAACCCTACATGATAGATTCTCTGTTGTCATCTATTTTACCCATTATCTTTGCCAATCTTTTTGGGTTGCGATTCCTACATGATAGATTCTCTGCTGTCTTTGATTTTACCCGTTGCCTTTTCCTTTTTTTTTGGGTCGTGAATCCTACATGATAGATTATTCGTTGTCTTCGATTTTACCCATTGCCTTTACCTTTCTTTTTGGGTCGTGAATCCTACACGATAGATTCTCCAATCATCGATTTTATGCATTGTCTTTAAGTTATCGTGTTGTCGTCGATCCTACTTTTAGTCACCACATCATCATCAAGCATATATTTTCAATCACTATAACACCCACTTCCCTGAGAACCTTGTATTGGCACCGTTAGCCTGTTACAAGCTATCACTACTCAACCACATTTATCTATCATAACCAGTTCACCAGAAAACAAATTTTCTTTCCCCACAGATACCACAAAAATATAACACTTACACCATCTCTCTATGACAAATTTCAGGTCTTGGTATTTAATCTTCTTCTACCTTAAATGATCAAAAGGTTGACGCCAATCTCACTTTTAGGTTTAAGACGATTAAATAGGGGAAGTTGTCATACCCCAAATCTGTCCTACCTTTTTACTTTTTATATGGCTTAGGTTTCGTATTTCGTTTGCATCATTTACACTAAATAATTTGCATATCATGCATTCCTTCATTCAATAAGGCATTAGTTCAAAAAAATCAGTGGTCATTCAAGCTAGGGCTTCACATTGGTTTTGAGGATTCTACATCAATAAGACTAGTCCTTCTAGTTTTTCTTGGTTGAGCAATGGAGGGTGAGCTAGGGTTTTGATTCATTATTGTAGAATTCTTTTTCCATCCACATTCACCAAGGTAATGGATCAGAGTGTACTTCTCTATTTTCATAGAAGATCGGGGTTGCAATCTTTTATGTATGGAGTGAATTAGGGTTTTGGGGTTTCTCTCAACATAAAGGGCTTCCTTGCATCAGTGTACTTCATGATTAGGGTTTCTTATCCTTGGTGTGTGATTTTGTTAGTGTTTCTCAATGGAAGAATGATTAAGGTTTCCATGAAAAATCTTATACATCTTAAAGATACATTTTGAGATCATTGATCATTATTTCAAGGGTTGTTGGTGTGAATTACAAAGAATAAACCATGGCCCAAGAAATGAAGTTATGATCAAGGTTTATTTTTGCTTGTTGCTTTCAATACCTGATAATAGGAGTTGAGAGTTTGAATTGTTAGAAGTTGGAGCCATGATACAAGTGATATGAGGAGTTTCATAGAGTCAATTTGAAATTGCATCAAAAAAATATCATTGATTTCAAATTGAGTTCAAATTGGTTCAAAGTTGTCAAGGTTCTAAGCATGCAAATTTGAAGGTGGATTTTCTTGATATTCAAGTTATAAGAATTAAGCATTCTTCATGATTAAAGGTAATTTATCATTCAAATATCCATAATATTACAAGACTTATTCATGTTTTACTCAAGTCCACTTAGTTCATCATCCATTCGTTCAAAATATCATTCAATTTACAAGAATATTCTCATGTTTCACAAACCAAGTTCAAGCAACATTTGCACTATTTGATACATCATATTCAAGTTACAAAACTCGTGGCCATTCAAGTGTCATTCATGTTCCTCTTTCAAGATTACAAGTCATTACAAGTTCTAAAACAAAGTCACTACACAAAACAAATTCCATCAAACCACTTCCATAATTTCATTTAAATTCATCCATAATTCTTTCCAAATATCATTACATATCATATTGTGTACATTTTGAAACAAGAAGCAAAAGGGAAATTAGAGCTACAAGATAATATGTTTCTAAGTGACCAATTGATAAAACTCGATTGAACTTTTTCTCCAAAAATGTTATTGTCAAGAAAAACTCCAAAGTCTACAAATCTGTCCAAAAACAATGTCAAAAATCAGCCCATGAACTTGTTACAAAACGAACAAAATCCTGATATCCTTAGGCATGTTGCTGCCATCCATAGACTTGTATAAACAATCCAAATGCTATTGTCTAAAACCCTATTAATTCTGCGCATACCCTTCTCTATAAACCAGTCCCTATCCTAAATACAATTAACCTTGTATCATTTTGTCCAACCTGTACAACATTCCAAAAACATGTCAAAAACTTGCTGCCCATAAACAAACAAAATCAGCCTTGTACATACCTGTTAAAATAGTCCAAAGATTACACTAAAATGAGCAAACAAAGACTACATCAAAAAGCCACAAGATAGTTAACCAAAATTTTTCAAATTCATCCCATTTCCCCCCTAAATGCTATCATTTTGCACTATAAATTGGGGCTTTAACCAGAGTAAAAGGCAGACAAAAAAACCAACAAAGAGAAATCAGAAACCTCTCACAATAATTTTTCGAAACTATGCTCATCACTCATCACCAACCATTAACCTAAAAAACCCTCCAATATACCTCCACTCTGCAAAAACTCAAACCATAATCCATTATATACCAAAATGCTACCAAATTAACTCAACACGGGATAACTTGCCCCATTCGCACACACGCTTTTCAAATTCAAAAGTTCAACAACAATGATTAGGAAAAAAACGGCAACATGCACAACAATTGAAACACAATTAGAAAACAGAGGCATAATTCATGATCAAAGGAGCTTCGTACCCGAACTTGCACGATATCTATGATTCGGATCAACGTTTCTTCTGCCTACTGTGCAATGAATTCTGGAACACTCCTCTTTTCAACAGGTAAACGCATTGAACTTCTAATATCACCTTTTATTGATTATGAATGTTTCTGAGTTGACTGATGTTTCCTGCTTTAGCCATATCCATCTCTTGCTAATCCATGTTTAGATTCATAAGATTTTAGGTTGTTTCACTGAAAATTGATGGTGGATTGAGAGAGAGGAAGGAAAGGCGGAAGGGGTTAACATAAGAGATATATATATATATATATATATATATATATATATATATATATATATATATATATATATATATATATATATATATATATATATATATATATATATATATATATATATATATATATATATATAGAGAGAGAGAGAGAGAGAGAGAGAGAGATGGGAGGCTTTGGTTGTTGTTATTCGATGGAAAGGTTGAGTCATGAGAGAAAATTAACGGTGGGATTGAAAGGAGAATAGAAGTAGAGAGAACGATTGATAAAGAGTGAAGCGTAAATATACTGGAAGAGAGAGTGAATCATGTTTTTATTTGTCCAAAAATTTTGTTTTTATTGTTATTTCATTGTTTTAATTGTTTTTTTTTTCAAATTCTCTTCCCATTTTCAATTGGACCTTTAGCCATGGCTAAAGCCATTCTGAATAGTACCGCTCACTCCCTTTGTTTACAAAAGTTTTGGCCCATTTACATTAGTTTTACTCTTTTAATTTTCTAATCTATTTTGTTTGCTTTGTTAATTATTTTAAGTTTCTTTATATGATAAAAATCACAAAAATAATTTGAATTTAGTTTTTTTTTCCTTTAGATTTTATTATTTGTTTAACTTGATAAAAATACAAAAAATATTAGAAATAGGGTTTTGTTTTCCCTTTGATATTAATATTTCTTTTGCTTGATAAGTAAAAATATTAGTTATTACTTTCTTTTATTTTTTTTATGTGGTTGATTCTTAACATGTTCCCTTAGGATGTTCCTTGAATCAATTAAATTCATATTTGACCGCTTCGTGTTGAATTAGACTTTAGGATCTATCCCTGAATGATAACTAATTAGGTTAGAAATTTCCCTTTCAAACACTCAACATTAGGTCCATCATTGTACAAGACAACATTAGGGTTTCAGTTTCTGATAGAACTTTTCTTTCCCCTTCTGCATCTTTAAAACTAAAACTTTTTTCCTTTATAAAAAATCCAAAAATACTTAATCATTATTCAAACCCATTTCACACTTAAAAAATACACACAACAAATTCAAAAATAAAAAAGGGCATGTTATCTCTGTTCTACCTCGATACAGGTCGTGCCTATTGCTAGGATGTGTGCGCTAATGCCCACTAAAGAAAACCAACAAACCAACATTATCTAGAAGAACTACGGTGTTCTGATTCTTTCGCGGGATACGTATGCAGAGGGTTGCGAGATCCTCACGAACATACTAATAAAAACCATTTAATTTCTCTTAGCAAGTATAGTTTTAGATAGACGCACCCTTAGAAACAAACAATTGAAATGGATCAGGTTGAGTACAACGGATGTGAGGGTTGCTAATACCTTCCCTCACTTAATAGACTTTTGTACCCTCTATTTTGGTTGCAAGACTATCTTATCCATCCTCTTGGGGTTTTCTCGATATTTCCCCTTCCATCGGGATAAATAAATTTCGGTGGTGGCTCTGTTTTTTTCTGGTCGCTTCAGTTTCCCTAAGAACATTTTGAATGTTTGATTTTTATTGCTACATCCCCAAAAGAATGTTGATTTCTGAGGATTTGTTTGAGATTCCTCAGCAGGATCTTTGCACCTCAACAGATCCTTATCCCTCCAATGATTTTTTCTTGCTTTCTCTAACAGTTCGTTGTATCCTCACCAAGTTGATATTTCCCAATAAATCTCTCATACCCAGTAGATTCCTCAGCTTAGGAAGACCTCTCAGAAAATAAGATTTGTGACAGGATCTCCACTCAATTGAGTATTGGTCGAGTATCCAGTTTACTCGTCTTTTGGTTTCCCCGGCTTTTCAGTGTATTATTTTGTCAGCGTAAATATAACATGACATTGCCATGCATTTTAACATTCATAGGACCCTCACCATGCATAGCTGAAGGTAAATTCGGGATCATTTAAATTCCTTTGATGTCTGTCAATCTTTTTCCTAGTGGTATTTTCCCCAGCGAAGTCTTTTCTTCGCTTTCCCAGCAAAGTTTTTTCCTTGGTGGTGTGTCCCTATTGAAGTTGTCTACTTCTTGGTGATACTCCCCAATGAGAGTATATTTCTTATCTCCTCATTGAGATTGTATCTCATGAGAAATTATGTTTCATATTTCCTTCCCATCATATTGTCTGGATGAAATAAATTCCCAATCGAGTTTATTCCTCGCCGGGTATAGTCATGTTCAACCGCTTCTCTCTAGTTTGTTATTGGATTGAACTTTTATCCCCTTGCAGCATTTAATTTCTTGGGATGGACTCATAGATGACAAAGAAGGTTGGCACGTTACATCTTTTTGGATCCTGGCTTCCTCATCAGAGAAGATTTGTGGGTTGTGAAATTTATTTTCCCTCAACAGTTGTCGCATGACATCTCTTGAAGATTTCTTTCAACAACAAGTGGTTGCCTCTTTATTTGAGAAGCTTGTTTGTTCTTGGAATATCAATCCCTTTCCAAAGCAAGTGGCTATCTCTCCATTATTCAATAAGAGAAGTTTGTTACAATTCAACATTCAACAATACTAGTTTGTTCACCAACAGGTGGTTGTCTCTTTATTGGAAAAGCCAATTTTGATCAACAATTCAACTCAAGATTTTAATCTTCAGCAATCTGTCATACTCTAATTTTTACCCCTAAGATCCCACTTATCACCTTTTAAATTTCATCAAGATCACAAGAATGGTATCCTATAACCTTTGGGTTTGTCTTGTGGGAGAGATCACCAAGCATCCCTGTGTTCCTTTTTGATTTTATGTTTTATGCTTTACTAACCCTTATCCAAAATTCAAAAATACGTCTTGCTTTATTTTCTTTTTGTGAGAGGTAGGGTTTTTCAATAAAAGGATCAAATGAAGTTTCTAAATTAGGGTTTTGGTTCTCAAGCTCAAGGTTTCGTCAACAAGTTATCCATCAAAGCTTATTCTTCAAGGCATGGCCTATAATCTTAGGCCTCATTAATCCCATACTTCACTCAACATGGTTCGATCAAAAGAAGTTCAATTTTGATGCATATTTTCAAGTTGATTCAAGGTTGGTTCATGTGTTTATTTCCATGACATCTTCATAAAATTATCAAGAATTTATCAAGTTTCTTCTATGCATAATTAATATTTCTTCCTTGGGTCTTCAAATGGTCAACATTGAGCCTTTGAATGCAAGAAAAGTCAAGTTGGTGCATGGTTGGTTGACCTAAAATCAAGTATGGCATGTCATTTGGTCTAAAGAGCAAAACTTATTCATTTATCAATATTTTTAAGGAATTATTTGTGCCAATTTTCCATTTTGATGTCCTCTACAACTTTACTTCAGATGTCAAATTGAAATTCAGCCTCTAAGTCCATCAATTTTTTAAATTGCTCAAAGGCTATTTATGCACAAAATCAGTGCCACGACCTCAACTTTGCAACCATGCCATTTTAAGCTCAAGCATCCTTTTGAGTTGGTTCTTTTTTCATTTGATTCCTTGCCATGAGAGGAACATTTGGCACAAAAAAAATTCAGAAACGCATGAGTCAATTGCATTTGGCCTAAGCTTGAACATGAAACTATGGACTTTGTTCTAAAGCGTGACTTGTAATTTGGTAATGAAGCAAATCTTCATTTGGGAGCACCATATCAGGTGCAACTTTGTTTCTTACTGCAAAACACATCTCACACAACACAAAACCACTTGATTCCACTCCAAAACTCACGTATTTCATGCTTGATTTCGCACGGTTTTTAAAAGCAAAATACCTGACATGGTTGGCACGATTGGAGAAGGATTTCCACATACCGTGAGTTCACTCACTCTCATATAAATATAGCTTCATTCTTCATTCGAAATCAAGCTTTGAGAGCCACGGGAACCCCGCTAATTTCACTCATGAAACCTATCAAAAACAAGAAACCCTAACTCCATTTCTCCTCATTTCAACTTCAAATCTCAACCTAGAAAGCTTCATCAGCGTCATCTGAAGTTGTTTGAACAATTACAAAAGTTTGAAGCACCTTGCAAGTACCATTCAAGTTCACCATTTTAAAATCCTGAAGCTTAGTTTATAAAGGTAGTTATGAGTTCTTATTCCCCTAAAATGAGTTAAAACTCTCTTCGTTTTGTTCCACTAATTAAAAACCCCCATTCACCTTTGATTTATTCATTATGTTCATCATTTATGAAATTATGGTATTCATATCACAGATGTCCTAAGAGGTGTTGAAACACTCTAATTTGATTTTAACACAATGAATAGATGCAACAAATAAAACAATGCAGAAAACTAAATAATACACACAATTGTTAACCCACTTAAGTGTACAACAATACATACTCTGAGGGCTACCAAGCCAGGGACGAAGTCAACTAGATAGTATCAATTTTTAGACCCATAACAAACATTCACCTAGTTTACAATCTACTAACTTAATCACCACTCGTGCTTAACTTCTACCTAAGACTCACCTAGGTATGATACCCTTATCAAATCCCTACCAGTCACATACAGTGGCAAGAACACAATTCAAAAGAATTACTTAGAAGACACACAATCAGTCACTGCTTAAAAGCTTTAGAATGACTGGGAGAATTTATAACTCAAAATAACTGTCCTACTCTTTTATCAAGATGATATTAGAGAGGATCACAAATTACACACAAACCCTAGCAAAATACAATGTAATCTAGGTTTGTGATAGTCTATTTAAAGCACACATATGAACTTAATTGGGCTTAAAAAATGTAGCAAATAAACTGCTAAAAGTCTGCATAAATTTTTGCATAAAAATAAGACTTCAATCATTTGTTTCATATATTATCTCCATAATTTGAAACTAAGAATACTCCTTGAATTTAAATT